GCTTGGAAGGCCGCTCCTCCAGGCGCCCAATGGCTGAGGCCAGTGTGGTTCAGCGACGTCCAGCAAGGCCAACACTAGGCACATGGAGGGCGAGCTGGGCTCCAAAGTGCACGCTGTCCTGCGGTCCCCAAACTCACTCCAGACCTGCTCTCAGGAGAGGCCCTTGTTCTGAAGGAATCAGGTGCTCTGCCCACACCAGTGGGCACCTGGTGCCCCAGCCCCAGGCCCGGCATGTTGCCCAACAGTGGGAGAGAGCTAGAAAAATGCTCTGTCTCCTTCACAGACCCCCTGAAAGTGAGTCCAGAGGCCCACTGGAGACCCCCAAAGGCAGCGGGAAACGGGGCTCCCCTCCCCTCTGGCTTGGGGCTCCTACAGCACTGCAATTGGGAGGTTTGGGGTCACTTCGCCATCCGCAGGACCCTGGAGCCATCCCTTCAGCACTGAGGCTGGGTCTCCTTTGTAAACGGAGATGGTCCACGATGGAGCTGGAGTCATCACGGCCCCACGGCAAACAGCTCTTGAGAAACTGAGTCTCCCGCAAGCCAGGCCCATCCGCAGGCAGCGTCGCCTTCAGGACGGCAGGCTGGTGGCCTGGGCTGAACCCCCGCCCTGAGTCAAAGGAGCCAGAGGAGCAGCCCGGGGTCTCTGAGGCTCTGGGGTCATGCAGGGCACACACCGAGGCTGAGCCCAGCCCCCATCTGCCCCTCAGGCCTGCCTGGGGTCCTTGTGGGGCTGGCTGGGTTCACTGCCCCCATCTGGGCACTGACACCTGGACACGAAGGGCCCACGGAGTCGTCGAGGCAGCTCTGCCCAGCGGCTCCCCTGCACCTTGTGGGAAGGAGGAGGAGGCTGGAGGAGGCAGAAGGGGGCTGTATGTCCCCACGGCCTTTCGTCTGCCCAGCCTGGGCTCTGTGCTCTCCCTAAGCATTAGGAGGGATCCTGGCCGCCTCCTGGCCAGGCGTCCTCGGGCCCCTGTGTCAGGGCAGCCCGCCCCAGCTGGCTGGACTCAAGACAGTCTGCACCCTGCGGGCTGCTCTCCTTTCCATCGTGGCCAGGCATCATCCCCCAGGCGGCCCTGTGGTGGTAGACAGACAGCACAGAGACTTGTTCTGGAATAAGGGGTGTGGTGGCGCATCCCTGGACGGCTCCCTGGGCCGCACCCCAGGCAGCGCCAAGGGATGCCGGAGAGTGCAGGTCCACAGCCATGAGGGGAGGGACTGCACTGGGGCAAGGACTCCTCTGTCCCACGGCTTGGATTGTCTAGGCTCTCGGCACTCACCACCCACCACGGGCAGCAGCTCAGCCCTCAGCCTCGCACCCTGGCTGACCTGTGAGCACCCATGGGCCGAGGGCAGACAGACGGATGGACGACTGTAAACAGAGTCTCGGGGGCAACGGGCAGGCCGCTGCCCCGGCCACTGCCAGGGCCTCTGCTCTGTTCTATCCAAACACCCCTACAGGCAGCTACGTACGTGGGTGTGAAACCCACTTAACACAAAATCCACCATTGACCGTGTCTGAGTGCACAGCACTCACACGGCTGCGCAGCCGCCACCACCCCCTGCCTCCACAACTCCTTCATCCTTCCAACCCAAGCTCTGCAGCCACGAGACACCAACTCTCCCAGCCCAGCCCTGCACCCCCAGCCACTCTGGGTCTCTGCGGATTTGGTGACTCTAAGTGCCTCACGTGAGTAGAATCAGAGGATCCGTCCTCTGGTCTCGTCAGCAGGACTCAGCACGATGTGCTCAAGGCTCATCCCACAAGGATGCTTTTACAGCCATCCTTCCCATAAACAGTGAAATGCAGAGAACACGCTCCGGTCAGTTAGGTTTCTGAGCCCCATGTTCTGGACGGAGACACCGCTGTGGCTCTGGGCTAAGGGACTTACTGGGTGCCTCGGTGACAGCCCTGGGAGGGGACAGCCCTGGGAGGAGACAGCCTTGGGTGGACAGTGAGTTCCTGGATTCTGGGGGACAGCAGACTGCAAGGAAATTGACCCACAGCAAGCACAGCGCTGAGGGGAGCAGCCACATGCCCTGCACAGCCGCATGGAGCACTGTGGACCTGCCATGCCTCACAGCAGCCCTGCGACCAAGGCTGAGACACCAGCTGGATGGGGCCCAGGCAGTCTGGCTGCAGAGTCCGTCCTGGGGCAGGGATGGGGACCCTGTATGACAATTAAAGATCCTGTGACAGCAGCAGTGGGCCAAGGGGCTAAGACTGAAGGCGGAGGGAGCCAGTCCCTGCTTCCAAAGGCCCCGTCCGGCCACCCCGGAGCCGAGGGCCGGGTTCTCTGTGCCAAGAGGGGCTGGGGTAGCCAGCGAGGGGCTCTCCCTCAGGTGGCACTGGGCTTCCGTCCAGCCCGGGCAGGGACCCTGCTCACTCAGGGAGGCGTTTCAGGCATTAGCAGCAGGAGCCACAGAGCCTCTTTCCTCTGATCCCTGAATAATGGAGGATAGTGATCTTTTCTCTCTCTATGCGTTCCTGCATCAACACACAAAAATAACCACCAACACTGCCGCTGCCAGAGACGGAGAGAGACCGTCATCAGACAGAGCTGCACCGGCCACTTCCAATTCTCGGGCACACTCCTCGATCCCCAAGATCATTTTTCAGAAGAAAACTGGGTGCATCTGAGTGTGGACGAGAACAGGGGTGCACCGTGGAAGCATCCAGCTTGTCACGGTGGAGGACCTGGACTTGGGGCCCGAGAAGCCACTGGTGCTGCACCTCCCAGAGCCTTTGAAAGAGTACATGAAATTTTAAGAAGAAATCATCCAGCCACCTAATTAAAATCAGAGATCACATACAGCAGCTAATACTTCAGCCCTGTGACTTTCAAGTTAAATTCCACTGGAAAAGCCCTGACAAACTAGAGCACAATGAAGAATTCAAAGTTTTCTCTTCTCTGCCCTCCACCCCCAATGCCTCGTGCCCAGTAACTTCCGTGGTAAGAGGGTCAATGGCGTGGCCACAGGGGAAGACAGCAGGGAGGCTCCCTGAAGAAGTAAACACACAATCACCACATGACCCAGGAAGCCCAGTCCTGGGACACACCCCGAAGAACTGAGAGCAGGGACACATCAGAGGTTTGCTCCGCCGTGTCCACAGCAGCACCAGTCACCACGGTCAAAAGGAGGAGGCAACCCGTGTCCCCTGACGGGTGAAGAATAAACAAAGCGTGTTGCATACAGAGGAATGGCACTCAGCCTTAAGAAGGAAGGAGATTCTGACAGAGGCTGCAACATGGGTGGACCGTGAGAACGTGCGTTGTGCTCAGTGAAACGAGACAGTCACAAAAAGACAACCCCTGGCTGACTCCACTTGTAAAGACAGAAAGTAGATGGTGGGGGCCTGGGGCTGGGAGTTTGTGTTTGATGGGGACAGAGTTCAGTTTGGGAAGATGGAAGAATTCCAGGGATGGATGGTGGTGATGGGTGCACAACAGTGTGAATGTGCTTAATGCCACCGAATTGTGCATAAAAATGGTTAAGATGATGAATTTTCTGTATATTTTATCACACACACAGAGCTGATGAAATATAATGCTTTTCCTTCCAGTGGCAGTGGCCACACCTACTGCGTGCAGTGGGTCGGGGGCTTGGTAGGCATCCCCTCACAAGCACAGGGACACATTCACCACGTGCCCACCAACACCGGGATCCTCACTTCTAATCTGGTAACTGATTTGGTAAGACAGTGCCTGCACAGAGTGAAGTGATGTTTCTGGAAATGGGGAAGAGGTGGGTGACATGGAGACCAGTGGACCCCAGAGAGGCTTCTTGAGGGCCAGCTCGACTGCCGTGAGGCTGTCATCAGCTGAGGCAGCCCCAACTTATCCTGTTCCCTGAGTCTCGTGTAAATAATTTCCCTCCTCGATTGTATGGAGTTATTGCTACTCAGAAAATCCAAACACGTGGTGTCTTTTTAGAAGCAGAATCCCAAACTAGGGCCTAGTGAAGACAACTGGAAATGACAGTTCAGGAATCAGACACCCAAACCATGAAGGAAGCGAAACCAATGTCCTACAATTTACATTTAAATTTAGTCTGCAGTCGGGATGGTCAAGCCGGCTAACAGATAGTGCTCCAGGAGGACACAGCTCTTCGCTGTGTTTGAATGATAAGCTGACCCCACCTGGTGAGCTCGGGAATAACCTGGCCGACCCGGGAAGGGCTCTGAGGGGCTCAGAGCTCTGCCCTGCTCTGCCTAAGGGGGTGTTCAAGGCAGGGGCGCTGCCAGGTCCCTAGCAGCTGGAGCTGGGGCTGGTGGAGAGGAGGGGCAGGCAGGATGCCCCAGCCACCCTGTGAGAAAGTGCAGGCAACACTCAGCCACATCCTTCAATAATGTAGCACCCTCGCCGATCCAGACACAAACCCTGAGCCTCCCCTGACAGCCGCCTGGACGCTCTGTGATGTGCTCAGTGCACAGACGCTGACAAGCTTTGGGTGACATCCTAACCCCCCGAGCATGACACTTGTCACAGGACACACAGAAGCGGCAGACTGCTCACAAAATGAGCCCCAGCATCTCAACAGAGCCAGCCCGGCTGTGCGTGAGCTGGGCACCTGCAAGGGTTCGGAGGTCACGTGCCTCCAGGAAGACAGGACTTGAGTTTGGAGCACACCTCTGCAGACTGAGCGTTTTGCTCCAAATCGTCCAAGCTTCCAGGGCCGGGCTGTCGGGGAGTCAGCCGAGAAGGCCTGCTGACCCAGAAGCCACGCTGAGTCCTTGAATTTGCCTGACATTTGGAGCGGCTGCTGCGGGCTCAGCAGGCAGCCTGATGTGTCCGCCGGGCTCAGGCCTTCTCTGCAGGCGAACCCGACCCGAGCGGGGGGGAGCCTGTGGCTTCAACCACCAAGGGCGAGGAGTGTCCAAGACCACCACCCAGCGAGCGCTGCCTCGGCCCTGCTGCGTCCAGGCCGCGGTCTCAAGTCAGGTCCCCAGCCAACCCGCTCGGCCCGTCCCGGCCCCGGCCCCGGCCCCGGCCCGCTCACCCGCTCCTCCTCCGCGCGGATGTCCGGCATGGTGCTGAGGCAGAGGCCGACGGCCGTGACGGCCACGAAGGCGACCGACACGCAGGCGAAGAGCTTGCCGGCCAGCCCCGAGTGCGGGTTGTCCACCACGTCGCGCAGGCGCCGCCGGCCGCGCGCCAGCCGCCCGCCGGGCCCCAGGCCGCAGTCCGGGCTCCCCGGCGGCCCGCGCTCCGCCGGCCCCGCGCGCGCCTCGGCCGCCTCCTCCTCGCGGCGGCGCAGGCGGCGCAGGCAGCAGCGCTCCAGGCGCGCCTCGTCGATGCCCCAGTAGGCCAGCTCGTCGCGGAAGGCGAGGGCGCACGGGCCGCGCAGCAGCCGCAGCTTGCCGGCGCGCAGCAGCGCCACGATGGCGCGGAAGGCGCAGGGGCTGCGGTCGAAGAAGAACTCGTCGCGGCTCACGTCGTAGT